CTCTCCCCCCCCCGCCCCTCTCTTCCATGTGGTGACGAGCAGTTAGGCTTGTTCGAGATGAACTACACTAGCCTGCCACTGGCTGACGAGAGTAGTAGCCACTTGCAGTCGGGGCGGAATTAAAAGCGGAGACGTCAAGTCAAGTTGCTTTTCATGAGCAACAGAAAGACTTTTTATATACTGCTTAATACAGCGCCATCTGTTCATAAATAAAGTTCGACATAAACATATAGTTTTTAAATACCAATAAAGTGGGGGTATAAATGCTTTTATCAGTGTTTTTTTGATAAACATGACTCAAGATAACAGTGCGACTACACTAAAAAAGATTTACTGTTATAAAAAAACAGAATTGTGAGCATTATTGGAATTTAATTGTTAGAATAAACACGCAACACATGTCGTGCTTGTCATCACAGAATCTAACCAATGAGAATAAAGTGTGTCGTCATCAAGGCTCTGGCAGCCGATTTTGAGCAACTGCAGCGCCTGACCTCGGGGCTGGTCTAGTTTTGCTCTCGCGGTACTTTGATGGCACATGTGATCGTAAGGCGGCTGCAGCGCCGATCAAAGTCGGACAAAGTTTCTAACCACAATGCATTGCATTTGTCAGACGTCAGCCGATCTTTACGGTGCGGCATGAAGTCGAACAAGTCTGTTCTCATGAGACTGTTTAATTTAGCCGCATTTAGCAGCGAAACTTGCTAACTAGCACGTTGTTAGGAAAGGCGATTTGCAAAGATTCATTAAAGGGTCATGAAATCCCAGACTACTTTTTCTGAGATTTTAGCAGAGGTGTTTGTGTTGCACATCATAGAAGACAATGTTAGCATTCGATAGTTCTGACTGTTGGAGAAAACTGGTTAATTTTAAGCTTTTTTGCGCTATTTTCATCTTCCGGGTTTAAAATCTACATCGTGTTGACGTCACAATTTGTGACGTGGCAAAGGACTATAGTACATCAATCACGTGTAGGTGTCTATTAAATTATTCATGAGACTGCGTGTTCTTATCCTATGAGAAGGCTTCGCTTAATTATTCACAACAGCATGTGTTAGTTTGCTATGACAGACGCTTCAGTGTATGTGTGAAGCTGGATCACGAATGATTCGCGCGAACATAAATGCATTTAGGTAATGTTAGATCGGGCGCGCATTCCCTTCAAAAACAAACGTAGCTGCGTCTTCAGCGGCTCAGATGTTGGGAGTAAACGACGATTGCTATGTTCATTATTACATCCAACAACAGAACACCTCAATCACTTAGGACTGTTAAGCCCCGTTCACACCAAGAACGATAACTATAAAGATAATGATATTAGCGTCCACACCAGCGAACGATATCGTCTGTTTATTCTAAGCGCACATGCGTCTGCCGCTTTAAATTCTTGAACTCGTTACAGCAGGATAGATTCTGATTGGCTGTTAGTGTTTTATCATTCATCAGCTGGAAAAAAATCGTTTTGAAAGTGATTCCAACGATATCGTTCCTCTGTATCGTTATCGTTATAGTTGTGGTGTGAACTATGCTATTCTTTAATATTGAGAACGATTTTTAGAACTATATCTTTATCGTTATCTTTATAGTTATCGTGCTTGGTGTGAACGGGCCTTTAGAACTCATTCAGGGCGGGTCTAAGGTTGTTATTCAAACAACATGTAAAGGTGAATTTTGCATCCGATGATGACCCCTTTAACATACATTAATAGCATTTTTCAAGCTTGTTGTTGCACAAATTTCTCTTACAAAAGGTAGGCCCTACTGTGGTGGTACAATGATATTAGATGGAAAAAGGCCTGCTATTGAATGAATACCATACTCATTTTAGCAGAGTACATGCTCATAAAACGTGGTATTACCATGGTACACAGGTCCAAAATACAGAAAAAGTAATAGCATGCTACTTTTTGTTCATTTTTGTGTACAGTAAATAACTGCACACATACCACAACACTTTTTGTAAGGGCATCTAAAGACCAAAGAAGATTCAGATATATACCATGTTTTTGGACATGAAGCCTACCTTTTCAGCTATCAAAGTATGTTCTAAGAACGTTCTGCTTTTCTGAATGTTCTCTGAACATTTATACATGTTTAAATAATGCTTAAAGACAACAAAATGTGGGGAACATTCCATTTTGTTTTTCAAACATTATGGGAATTGCTTTTGAATGTTCTCTAAAACATGTTTGAGGAATGTCTTACTAAAATGTCACAGAAAAACATTCCATTAACAATATATAGTTTTTGTGCTAACGTTTTGAGGCTATTAATAAAGTAAATGCACGTTCTGTTTAAGTTACTGGACGTTCAGAAAACGTTCCCTGTTAGCTGGACTGGTAGTACCATGCTATTCTTGGTATATTTGGTAGCCTATTCATTTCAAATAACCATGGTACCATGTTATTTTATTGTTTTTCTAAGTGCTTTGTGTCAGGATGAATAACTAAAAAACAATATTTCTGGAAATATTGTTGATATAATTTTATTTTGGCTCCAAAATGTAATCATTTCAATTTTTGTGAATTCAACCATCCATCACTTCATTCATCTTGCCGCGTTAAAACCATAGACTGTATAAAAACAGGGTAAAACGCAGTATCGATCGCCATCTAGTGGCTCGTGTTAAAACCTATGGTTAAAACAGCATCTAACTGAGGTGTAATGTTTAAGCCGCCCTCTAGGCGGCGGTATCTAAAAAATAAACGCAAACTCACCGCTGACGGTCTTCACTGAAGCTCCTCGGTTGTTTACAGTTTTGCCATTTAGCTTCAGCTCAAGTTCTCTCAGTAAAACCATTTGAATCGTATTTCCAGCATGGGATGCGACGGCGGAACCATTCCTAAAAGACACGAACTGGTTAAAGGACCGAAAAAGGTTGAAAAGGTAAAAACGTTCCGCTAAACGCTCGATTATTGTCATAAACCGTATGAAATTAGCGTGTAGCGTCTTAGCATGTCAGGAACTCGTGAGTTTAACATCTGTTTTTTTTCTTCAGCTGCTGTAGAATTTCAATAAACTAAGCATGGTTCAATGTGTCTTGAATAAACCTTTATTTTCTGGACATAAACATACCGTAGTACTTGGAAATGCTTCCTGGTAACGCTACTGAAATTCACAAACCATGGTGTTTACATAGTACACTATGGTATTGCCATGGTAATGTAAATGGTGTTTATATAATTGTTCATGAATTTCAGTACCATGGCATATTTCAAAGTATCACAGTATTACAATCTTTACTTTTTAGTACCATTCTATTGAATGTATTACAGTATCACGGTGTGTGAGCGATATCAGCGCCGTCCTAAATATTGAACTATTATGATTTTATTTATTTGCATATTCATAAACCCTTGCAAAAAGTACATATATTTTTGTAAGGGTTTATGAATATGCAAAAAAATACAATGCGATTCACAAATAAATGTTACACACAAAATAAATGCACACAACTAAAATATATTTCATGTTAAATATTTTAATAATAAAGTATAATATTTATAGCATTTGGAATTGGTGTAGCTTTTTTAGCTTGCAAACTTCACAACAGCCATTTATTGAAACTGTATTAAGGCTATTTGTGAATGCATCTCATATTTGTATTAACAGCAATTACTGAATGCGCTAAATATTTCTTTGTAGGACCCTCATAAACCAGACATTTATTGTTGTGGTTCATAAATCTGAACTTTTTTGTTCTACAGGTTGATAAAAACGCAGAACTTGCTGCCAAATGGAAGTACTGTGCGTTGAGTCAGGAGAAGCTGAAGTGGCCCATAGTTGCCTGTGAGCTGGGCAGGTACGTTATTAAATTATCTTCATGTTTTTGCTTATAAAGGTGATATACAGCTAGCTAAAGCAGTTGTTATTTATTTATTTAGTATAGGGCTGAAAATATTAGTCGACATTATCGACAACGTCGACAATAAAAAATTGTCGACAAATATTTTTGCTGTCGAGTAGTCGTTTGATCTCATATGACCTAATGTAAGAGCCTGCAATAACGCACTTTGACCAGTGTGGCGCTGTAGCGCAAGACTAATTCATCTCTCCTGATGCAAATCAAGAGAAGAAGGTGCAGCGGCAGCTAGGGATGGGCGATACCACTTATTTTGTTTTCGATACGATACCGATATTTTTCAAGGCAGTATCGTCGATATCGATACCGATACGATACTTCTGAACTAAACTTTTAAATGATGACATTTATTAAATTACTAAGAGTAAAATGGGTAATGATAACC